TGGTGGCGAGTCCACAGTCTCCTCTGTCTCGACACTCATCACATCCACGGAGGAAGATAGATGAAGCGTCTGGCTCTCTCTCTCTGGGGGGGTGGGAAGAAACCGCAGTGCGGGCTTCCGAGCACTGAGAGAGAGCCGCGGATCTAGCGGGTGAGGACCGAAAAAAACGACGAGCCCGTCTCGGATCCCTCCGCTAAATCCACCCATGATCCCCACGACAACAGTCTGTGCTGTGCCTCAGCAACAGTGGGACCGCTGCCAGCAGGATCGCGAGCCTGGCCGCTCTCATCAAACACGGCCCGGCGAGAGCGGAGCGTGCGCAGCGAGAGCAGCTCGCAGTCATGACAATCAGCTCCTCGAAATCTGACCGTGCATGCTCCGCTCCCAAACAAACGACACACAATCGTGTGTATCCCCCGCCGCCAGATATCGTGGGCAGGGAGGAACACAGCGTTTGTAATGCCGTTCGCTCGCCATAGACTTTTTCATGATTGTTTTTTATATATGCTTGTGCGGACAGACAACTGTAAATAGACAGACACATACACAGATTTTTTGCGTTCTGCCGGATGCGCTTTTATACTTTCTGGTGCTTACGTCACCCCGCTCATGACGTCTCGCTACTCCATTGGACTGATTTGACACGTGCTTCAGAACGCGGTCACGCAGGGGCGTTCCCAAAGCAACTTCGACGCAGCTCGAGTTTCTGAAGGGGAACAAGTTGCTATAAAGAATGCATAAGTATCCTATATAACCATTGGCATTTCTTTAAAAAGAAGGCCATGTTCTTGTACTTTAAGGGTTTTTATTCAATTTTAACATAAAGGCATGTTGTGTGTCACCTCAGTTAAATCAGTGTCTATCATGATAAAACCTTAATATCAAACCTATATAATGAGTAAGGAAATTGTAGAGAAATGCTTAATAAATGCATTACACTGTAACTAAACCCATTAGATTTTAGCCGACTAAATTTACTGTAGATTTAGTAGACTAAAATCATATTATATTTAGTCGACTAAAACTAAAAACGATTCGGATTACTAAAATATGACTAAAACTAAATGTAATTTTAGTCAAAAGACTATGACTAAAATTAAATCAAAATCTGCTGTCAAAATTAACACTGGTGGGAGGAGAATGGTAGCTTCAGGCTGTTTACTTGAGCCACAGTGTTATTTCCTATGTAAATAATCTTGCTTGAGCCGACAACTAAATGTTTTTCCACCTCTCTCTCTTTTTTGCATCCTCAGGCTCTTTCTTCCCAGCTCTGAAGCCCTCTGAGATAGTGTTCAAAGTAATCTTCTGGTTGGGCTACTTCAACAGTTGCATTAACCCCGTAATTTACCCCTGCTCGAGCAAGGAGTTCCAGCGCGCCTTCACCCGTCTGCTGCGCTGCCAGTGCCAGCGGCGCCGCCACATCCTGCGCCGCTTCTATGACCAGCGCTGGAGAACAGCCATGCGAGGAGCCCAGAGGGACCGGCACAGGGACTACTGCTCTGGATTTCCCTTTCACGAGCAGTGTGGTAACTCTATCTATTCCTGTCAGAGCAAGAGCCGGTCTCTTAGTCTGAAGAGCTGGAGCTTCTTCCCCCCTTTACAGAAGTCCTCTGTCCAGCTGAAGGAGAAAATGAACAACCTTTCCAATAAGATTAAGAACGGGACAGGGAAGAGTAGCACGTCTGCTCTGGCCCGGACAGAGATTGACACGGTCTCCATGGGGATCTATAATGACAGCGGCGATCAGAGCGGCTACCAGATCTACGATCTCACAGAGTGCTACGGCCTGAAGGAAACAGACATTTAAACAAAGACAGAGATTACTATCTGTTTTCTCTGAGAGCTCTGACCCACTGCCAGTTCTTAGGAATTGTTTGACTCAAAGACTAGTATTCTTGTTATGTCTTAAAGTACACAGTCGTTAGGCAAATATGAGTAAAAAATAACACGGGCAATGTGTGTTAAAGGAGATTAATGTATTTTCACATGGATAATTTAAAAATATTTCTTTAAAAGTGGGAAAAGTACACTGAATGGAAAAATTATGAGGGGGTGGGGGGATTATCTGCACTGGATCAGAACAAAAAGACTCATAGCTGCTGGGTATCTGTATACCGTGCTGTCCATGTGGCCTTTGAGAAATAGTCTGTCAGGTGTTTCAAACTCTCTGATGACCAGCAATGTTTTGAGCTGTATTTACAAAGAGAGATTATTACAGTTTCTTTGACTTGTTGTCCATTAAGTGTGAATGGAAAACATATTTGACTGTGATGTATTTGAGAGACTGTTGAATCCATGACATGGTTTGTATTAATGATTCACTGTGGTTCACAGATTGCTGTGTAATTCACTTTTAAATTATTCTAAATTGATTCAGATACCTTTAAATGTGAGGCACAGTTTGCAACCTAAACAGATTTTGTGCATATGTGTTCAGTATAACAGAGGGTAGTTGAATACTGTGCTATTCATGTGCTATTCATGCTATTCTCATTTCAACCATGAGATTTAAGTCATTCATAAATGGACCAACAGAAGAAAAATCATAATTCATGGACTACAACTCAGTTTTTGTGTTGTTGAGAAAAGCTTTGGGTTTCTTTGTAATGCTGATGTGACAGTGTCTTTCAGTGTCAACTATTAAACATAATAAATCTGAAACGAGAATGCAGTTGATCAAATATGTGTATTAGATGAATCCTGAATACAATTAATACATTTTATTCAAACAACCATCCCATAGGAAAGAGAAAATCTGATTACATCCTTTTACTAATGTTATTTTGTACACAGCAATGAGCTTACATTGAAATCAAGTACCTATCTTGGCAGACTTTTCTCCCGAGAAATACTTAAAGCATAGTTCACCACCCCCAAATGAAATTCAATGATCATTTACTCACCCTCATGTTGTTCCAAACTCTGACTCTGACCAGACTTTGGTTAATATTCAAAAACTATTTAAGATATTTTCCCTCCATAGAACGCCCAGGTAACCAAAACTTACAAGATCCAAAAAGTTTATAAAGCTGTTATAGAATAAATCCAGTCTTGTGCAGAGGTACTATGGCTTTGATGAACAGATTTAATTTAGGCATTTATTAACATATAAACACACATACATAGAGTGAAACACGTGGAAGCTTGTGCGATTGTATCAGGTGTCATTAAAATACCTTAATTTGTGTTTAGGATATTAACAGAAGTCTTATGGTTTTGGAATAACATGAGGGTGAGTAAATGATGATAGAATTTTCATTTTTGGGTGAACTATCCCTTTAAGATTCCACAATTTCTCTTAATCACTACTCACACAAGCAAATGTCAGATGTTCTTGCTTGCATTCAAGATGCTCTTTGGTGGTAAATTATCAAATCATGCCAGAAAACATGATTATCAGGCTTTAGAGTAACTTGTGGAGTTCACGCAGCCCAAGTGCTGCTGACATTTAAACAAAAGAAGAATATACCAAATTCTAAGACATCCTGAAACTCATTGCATGTCTCTAGAAGAGAGTTGACAGTGTTACATGCTGTGCTCAGATTTGCCAGGATGTGAAAAATCCACATTAATTTTATAGCTTTGTACTCTTACTGCTCATCTCTTTTTACCTAAGGAATTTTAGGAGAAACATCTGAGACGAAGGTGATACTTAACCAAAACATTACTGAGAACTCTATGATGCCTCCTGAGTCATGAAAAAGCAGTCTCTGCACAATTAAATCGGTCAGCCTATCAACTGCTTTATTGCTGCATTAATTTACTCATTTATGATGAAAAATCTAAGATGGCCAGCAGAGGTCCCTGTTAATGTAAATCAATTGCAAATTCCTACAACTTTACAACAGAATTGCATACACACGTATTAACAGGAAGCATCTAAAAGCAGTCTGAATCATCTCGCATTATGCTTAATTATAATGTGACAAGACTGTGGGTGTGAAGATGACTTGTGAGGATAGTATACTGTATGTGCGAACTAACTGTTGTTTCTTTTTTCATTTAAGAGTTCTGAGAACTTACTGAAGAGAAATTACAGTGAGTCCCTGTCCTTCCCTGTTTCCTGTGGATTACTGAAGACTAACACCAGCATACATAGCAGTTCTTAATGGGTTCCTTCAGCTAAGCGCTTGTATGTTTTGACTTATCAGAAAAATGACTTTACATACATTTCACTTCCTTAGAATTCTAAACAGTGCCAGAAATGTCTAAAAAGAAGAGCATTTGAGTGAATGGCCAGGCACAGAGGTAACAGAACATTAGCTTAATTAAAAAAAAAATGATACTGGATGTTTTCCAGAGACGATTTCCATTTTGAAAATGAATACATACATGTTTGATTATAAAGAACCCCCCACCCACCCCCCCAGTTCCTTTATCTTTGCTTACCTCACTATTGAAGCAGGCAGACTAGCTGGGGCCAATTCTCTGTCCTGCAGTCATTTCATAAGAATTATATCAAGAAAACGTGATCACAACTGAGATTTAATTTCTATCATTATGTAATTATTTGTTTTCATACATATTTTAGTTATGACTCTGATGTTCTGCAGGTCACGGGTGCTAATCTGTGACAGGGGAGGATGTGTCACACATCTTTGGAGTGTTTCTTTTGATAGGCACTTTATGTGTAGTAAGTGCACACTCAAAAAGCAAAAACCTAATGTTCCTGGTTGTTCCTCACTGTGTTTATTATGCCATGCTGCCATATTTTGTTGAACATACCAGAACTTTTTCTGCAAAGGACATTATGTGAGTTTAAAATGTGCTCTTAACCATTTTAGATTCCCACTGTTACAGCTTGTACCACAGAATGCTCATAATTCTGCCAATATACAAAAGGTAAAGTTCTGTTTGTTACCTTGAGTGCACTTTGAATTAGTGTTGGCAATAGATGCCGTAGAATGAAGGATTATTTGCTGCAAAGCACCAAATCTGTGAAAAAATTATGAATGCAGGCCAGACATCTAATTTATTCACATAGTAAAAAAATGTGAAAGAAAACACATTTTACAGGAAGTTCAACACCAAATCACAATGTTTGCATGCACTTTATCACTTGTCATGCTGTTAGCCTAACAGAGTTATCCTCATCTCACTGGGGTTTGTGTTATATCATTTATTATTATTTGGAACCCATAATGAGATTCCATAATGTGTTAATCCTTTAAATCTTTTACAGTCTTACAACGAATAATACCTATGGTCACCCATAGGGCAATAATACATTCATAGCTATTTTAAATATGTTTTAAAATATCTAAAAATGGCCTATTGCTAATAAAGATTTTAAAATACATTTACATAAATATATTTTCAATAACCCATATGGCAAAAAATATATATATTTTTGTGACCAAAATTTATTTTAAACATATGCCAAATATATGTTGTAACCAGTGAAGCTCAATGATATATTCAAAATATATTTATGAAATAGAAAATATATTTTGTTTTAACTCTCATTTACCAAAATATATTTCAAGGGCAAGAAAAAAAAAGATATATATATGTGCGTTAACAAGGACGCTAAAGACCACAGCCTCTAATGTCAGTTGCTAGTGCGCCCTCTTGAGATCAGGGGAGTGAGGTTTACCTGCACAGCTCTTGTAAGCTGGCCTCCGTTTAACTCATATCCCTAAACCTCACTCCCATCTGGGTCACGGCACCAGTGTCACCCTTCTGGTTCTCCTCACCTCACTTGCCCTGGGGTGCATTTCCCAAAAGCAGCTATGGTCAGAAGTGCTATAGCTACCAATAGAGTTCAATAGAACTTGCAATCATAAGCCCTATTCGCACGGGATTAGTATTATCTAGGGACCTTGTATAATTTTGAAACATCTAAATGTCGTGTGGTGCATTCGCACGGGAAAAGCGAAGCCTGTGACTTTATTAGAATTTTCTGACTTATCTCCCAGATACAATGTCAAGGATTTGAGAGTCCCATTCTATGGTCCAGTTAGATGGATTAAAAAATAAATAAACTAATATAGTTTTGTGTCATTTACATTTCACCACGTTAAAATACTATCTCAAGCTTGATGCCCGATTTATTTGTAACACATTAACCTCAAAACCTTTTCAGCTTTCTCTTTCTGCAAATTGTATGGTGTAGCAATATGACAGCACCCAAAATACTATCAAACACTCCAACGCAGCTCCATTCTTCGCGAAAGATGGATAAAAAGGCACACAGGAAACAAAAAGCTCGAAAAATTATATACGACCAGCCAAATGCTGAGATGCTGATTCGCACGGGACTAATATTTTCACAGGACCTCGGTGTTCGACGAAATATGGTAGGTCATTTGCGGGGGAATTTTGACTTTACAAATTACAGACATGACTGATTCGCACAGGATTAAGATCACAGACAACCTCCACAATTATTACAAATGACTGGAGGTCACCAGGTAATACTAATCCCGTGCGAATAGGGCTATAGTTACCTAATGATGCTTTTGGGAAATGGGATATTTGAACAATATTTTGGCAAAAAAAAACATATTTTGCCATATGGGCTGGAGAGGAACAAGTTTGAGGTATTTTATTAAAACTGCCACAGGTAATCAGTCTACTGGTTGTCAGTGCGCTCATTGGCATCTCTTTTCGAGTGAGAGAGGTCCATTCCTTGAGCTGTGCCGTGCAGACATATTCTGCAGCCCATGATCATGAGGAAAGCCCTACGGAAGGATCGGTTAAAGAAACCATAGAGGAAAGGGTTTAGGGAGGAGTTGACATACCCCAACCACAGGAATACATCCCATATCACAGCAGCAGTCCCGTACTCAATGAACGGGTCGACGATATTAACAGTAAAGAACGGCAACCAGAACAGAAGGAAAACACCCATGATGATGCCCAGAGTTTTGGCCGCTTTTCTTTCCCTCCTTATAGAATTGCGATGTTTTTGTTTCTTGCTCGAGTCCTTGCCCACACCTGCTGCCATCTGCGCCTCCATCGCGCTTATCTGCATGGCTTGCCGCTTTGCCGCTTTGTAGATCTTCCAG